CACACACACACACACAGTTTAAAAGGTGTTTAAAACTAACACTTAGCTGAACATGCCGATCAGCAGAGGTGGAGCAGCTGCAGCAGCTAGCATCCTCTGCTGTCCAAATAAATAAAAAAAGAAAAATCTTTACAACAGGAAAACATTACAGGTGGTACAAAGGCAACTGACAATTAACTGACACGTTAGTACAGTTAATACAGATTGCTTCATGGCTGACTATTTACATGATAGGAGACTATAATGCAGTTTAATTTGTTTCTTGTGCTTACAGATAGGAAGTCCTGTGCCCTGTGTTGGAGTTTTGATAATCAGACTACAACAATATACTGTTGCAAAGAATCTATATATAATGAACAAATAAAAGGCACATTGATCCCAATATCACTAAATCATAATCTAAAATTTCATAAATACTGATGGTTAATAACAAAACTGCCCATGTACTGTATATTACGTCTTACAGTTTCTGGCAAAAGCCATTTTGCCCTCTGTGGTGAAAATCTTCTTTTAATCTTGAGAAAAATTATATTTTCAGCACATGACTCCTTCCTTCACTTTCCAAAAGACACAATTTCATACATCAAGTATGTGAAACTTCCACTCACAAACACTCCTACACATAATCATACATACTGTATACACACTGGTGCACATATGCAGACGACTAATATGCAACTCTGGCAGAGGTTTTGCACAGTATTGGCAAATGTCCTGTAGAGTAACAGACACAGATCTATCATCTGTCCTTTCTCTGCTTTTCTCTCCGAAAAATAAAATCAGTGTTGCCTTCTTCTATGACATCAGCTTTGCTTACAAGAGCAATTTTCAACTGCAGGACTATCCCAACCAACCATTCTTTGAGCAATAGTAGAGAAAGAGAGCGAAAAAACAACAGAACATAATAAATCAGCTACAACTACAAGTGAATAAACTTGTGAAAAATGCTAAGCACTAGTGTGCCTAGAAGCACTAGTGCCTAGAATAACCAGATTATTTTCTGAAAACAATACATGAAAGAAAATAAAGTTTCTCTCTGCATGTCTTTCATGCCTCCGTCCCATAATGCAATGCAGTTGGGGGCAGACTTGTCACACGTTGAGCTGGAAGCGAATTAGGAAATCTTCAGGGTGATTGTGGTCCATCAAACTGTCTCTCTTCCATTTTTAATGCCACAGCTCCCAGCTGCTTTTACTGGACATAAAGTAAAAGTCATTTGTGCACCATTGGAGGTTCATTTTTCATGTGATCCTGTTGTCCATTATGGTCCAGTTTATATTCAGAAGGAACAGATGGCAGTGTAAGGCCATAATCCACAAATTGTGTCCGTCATTGTGGACCTTACAGTAGAGAATGATGTCGTCACACGGATGTTCAGAGGTCATCCGAGGCCGACCGTCTGCCCTTTAAAGAGCAGAAAACCAAAGCATTAGGCATTCAGATCAGTGTTGTTACATCCTTTTTATTCATAGACATTTGTATATGTTCTTTTTTAATCTGTTACTGAGGACTGAAACTACTTTGTGAAACAAATAGGCCGATTGTGTCACTCAACCTACAACCAGTTTCACAGCCTTTTCAAAATCCCCTAGGGAGGTCAAAGTTAAAATTTGCATCCAGACTCCGAATGTCTTGGAGCCATGGCAACCAGATATGAGGCTGCTGACAAAATGTGGACTCAATAAGCACCGATCAAAAGAGGAGATGAACGCAGATACACAGCCCAGCCTGACAGATGAAGCAGATTCCACTCAAACTTTATTATCAGTCAGTTTCGATGGACCCTTTACTTTTATACAAACTTATATTATTGTTTTGATTAATCCATTTATTTGTCTGTAAAATGTTATTAGTGGAAAATGCAAATTAAAAGCTCCAAGAATCCAAGTTGACATTTTTAAATTTCTTGTTTTGTCAGATCAACAGTGCAAAACCCAAAGATACTGAACTCACAAATATATGAAAGAGAGACGAGCAACACATCCTCACAGTTTAAAAGCTGGAACTGTCACATTTGGGGACTTCTTGCTTCATAAAGAACTTAAACGATTAATAAATGATAAAAAATAATTAATCGATCTATTAGTTCAATAATTGTTTCAGCACTATATATAATATTCAGAGATATGTAATGTAGTATTCAGAGGTATGTATAATGATGAGCTACTGTAAGATGCACATGACTGTCAGAATGAAAAGTCTGCTTTACGAGGAAAAGCGAGATTTTATACATATTGGGCCTTTTTCACAGCAGCAATCTTAAAATAGTAGGGTAAACACAGTTACTAATGAAATTTGTGTTGCATTAAGTATAGCAGAGCCTTTCCAGTGAGCCAACATAACAGTAGCACCCCGACTCTGTTTGACCTCAATGGAACAAAATCTTAAATTAGAATGATTGGTAAGGGCTGTTTCCTCTACTATTTCATGTCAAAATGGTTGGTCTGTGCGCTCTACTGTCATTCGTGGGTTCATAACCCCAGGGTCATCATGTTTTAACAGCTATGGGTATAATATAATATAATCATGTCATCATACATAGCTGTAACTAACTGTAACAAGTTCCTATTTACTGTAATTTACTCACATTCACAAGCCCCTGATGCAGCTCAAACAGATTAAAGAAAACTGCTGATATATGAATCCAAATATATTTAATAAAAAAATGGCACATATGGTAGAATGTATGTGTTATTCACCTTGAAGCTAATGAGTGTGAAACTGTCTTACCTGTCTTGCAGCGACCATTATCGAACATCTCTAAAGAGCTGTAAGATAAACAACAGAGTGGGTTAAGACAGCGAGGAAGATGGACAGATGGACAGATGGAGAAACTGGGAGGTGTGAAAACAGACAGTGATGGACTGAAGACAGGAGGGAAATGTAGAGTGAAAGAGATGAAGACGTAGGCAGGTGGTAAGAGTGAATCTAAAAAAAAAGACACGGGTGAAGAAGACTTGTTTTGGGTGAGAGACAGAGAGATGAAGTGAATCTGTGAAATGAACATTCAAAAGTCAGAACAAACATCATTGGATTAACCTTGAGTCATAAACTGGAGCAGTCAACTTCTCTCTCTCTCTCTCTCTCTCTCACACACGCTTTTCACACTTTCAATTCACGTTGAAAATTGGACGTATCAATATGCAGTGAATCTCTCTCCTCCACCCCCACATACACAAACATCCTGCAAAAACCTAGCTTCTGCTGCTGCCCCATCACCAAAGCAATCACACCTCCTCTCACACCCCAACAAAAATGGTATCCAGTCAATACACTGAACAGACGAGGATCAATAGAAAATATCTGGAAGGCAACAACACAGCAACCCTGGAATGGTGTTATTGCCGAAGACTCAGTTGAATTCTTATGTGCTGCTGCAGTCGGCAGCAAACTAATGAGAGGCATGTGATGGCTAGAAACAGCAGGAGGAGACAACCGCATCATCAGATTGTGGACATTTGGTCCCCTAGCACCAAGACTGAGTGTTGAGTTAATTATTTTGGATGGCTGCACTGAAATCTCTGAAAATAAGAGAACAGATGGAGAGGATGATATTGATGTTGTTAACCAGGTCTGGTTTAAAGTCAGTGCGCTTAAAATGTAGTCCAACAAATCAACGGTGATGTCTGTCAAACTCTGAACGGCCAAGTACACAACTCTACGAGCTGATACGGCAGCAGTGCTGTGAAACACAGTGTTAACTATGGTTTGCCTGTAGGCATGAGTACACTTCGAATGTGTTAGTCTTTGTTTCTGTTGTTTCTTCGGTGTTTTGAAGCTTTGGCACAGCCTCACCAGAATAACTCTTGCTGAATTTCAGTTTTGTTGGTTCTCAGTCCAAACCTCCTACAATATGAAGATGGTGCTGTCTACTCCCCTTCACATCATCTGGATTCTTAACCATTTTTAGACCCAGACACAAATTAGTAATTTATTCTCGCCCTGGAAGCCAGACTCATGAAAACACAAGGACTACAGGGTTTCTGTAGTCTATTTTTGGTCAAAACCCACAGTTGAAGAACCCAGATCCTGCGATGATGAGTTAATCAAAGATGAATCATCAAACAGAGATCATTGATCCTGCACAGGCGTAACCCCCAACTCCTGTCCTCCTTTTTGTTGAAGTAAATAACTCAAAGAAAAGTCAAACAATTAATGTGCATGTTTTTACAGGACTGATACAGAGTTTATCCATGCATAATCATATATCTAGAATTTTGGAACTAAGTAGACTTCCTCCAAATGAACACATATTACACAAGAGGCACACATTCAGTGCAAATGTGTTCTCCCCTTGGTGAGGATTAGGGTTGAGGGTCTGGACCACCTGTATAGAATGAATGTCTCTGATTGGCCAGCAGCTTTTAGATCAAGCTTCCTGGTTTGGCCCTGATTAATCCCAGTGATTGGTAGGTTGACTCACAGCAAGCGGGTCTTGGCTGAAAGCTGCAACGCTGTTCCGCATCTCATTCTCACTGCCACGCAGTGGTATCAGAGACACGTTACCATGGCGCGTGTCCGGTAACACGCGGCTCACCCGTGTCTGCTTGAGTCCGTCCTGAGGCCACACGTCTCCATCGTACTTTAATGAGGAGAGGGAGGGAAAGAGAGCAAGAAGAGATTTTACAATGCTATCAGCAGGTTTAAAGCATGTAGCTGTGTCATGCCATTTAAATTGTCCCCTAAAGGTCTGCTCTATCCAATAGTGCTGTGTTATCACTAATGCTAAGGATTACTTCAGAAACTATTGGTCTGGTCTTAAAGATTAAGTCAGTGGACACAAACAGCAAAATGTCAAGATTCATGCAAATAGTTGAGTTACAGCAAGTTCATAAATTAAGTGCACTAAAGCCAGTCAACTTATTGTTTTTATGTGTATGGGTATATACGTATGTATAGGTGTGTGTGTGTGCGTGTGTGTGTGTGTGTGTGTGTGAGAGAGAGAAACAGACAGACAGACAGGGATGCCTGTCAGTGGAGATATTCTTACA